GGCAGGGAGCGGTTCGGAGCTGGTGAGCAGGGCTGCAGGGTTGTCTTCCCGCCTCTGCAATTCCTGCGTCTGGGGAGGAGGGGAAGTTACTTCTGGAGGCCTGCCGCCTCACGTGGCGAGGGTGTAGGGCAGCAGGAGGTCATGAATTCACTGGCCCCGTCATGGTCCCTCCGAGCAAACCCGCACTGGTTGCTCGCTCGCTCACGTGCTTCTGGATCCTCCCCGCCCCAATGTGACCCAGGGCCTTTCTTGGAGGAGCAGGTGCTACCACTTCATCTTGGGATGTGCTGTTGAGGCCACCGAGCTGGGCAGGCGCCTGGGAGGGACTGTGGGCAGGTGCCTCAGCAGTCCCCCTTCTCCTGCCAGCCTCCACCGCTCTGATGCTGGGCTGGGCCAGTTTCCAAGTACCGCTTAGGTGTGGGGAGCCTGGAGCTATTGCTGTTTGCGCAGAAGCTCCTGCGCAAGTGCTAAGGAGTTACCCTGACAAGCACTCGGAGCGGCCATCCCTGCTCCACTGCCCTGCGCTCTCCCATTTCTGCCCAGCCCCAGCACTGGGCTGGTGCACTGACGCTGGCAGGTTCTGCCCCAGGTCCACCTGCAGACGCAGCAGGAGGTGAAGATGCGGATGATGGGGATGGCGATGCGTGTGATCCGCACCGACGGCTTCCTGGCTCTCTACAACGGGCTCAGCGCCTCGCTGTGCCGGCAGGTGAGTGCCTCCGTGCCCTGACGGCCTCTGGTCCCCCGAGGCCAGCACGGAGCTCCTGCTGCGTGGCGCTGCCCGCTCCGTCTGGCAGCTGGGCTGGAGCTGACAGGCTGCCCTGAGCCGCGGGGGCCGAGGAGGCAGGCGCCTAGCAGGGCACAGCGGCTCATTCTCCTTCTCCTCCAGATGACGTATTCCTTGACTCGCTTTGCCATCTACGAGACCGCGAGGGACCGCTTGGGCCAGGGCAGCCAGGGGCCTCCCCCCTTCTACCAGAAAGTGCTGCTGGGTGCAGTGGGAGGTGAGCGAGGGAGGGGGTCCCTCAGCCCTGGGCTCCCTCAGGCTGGAGGAGCCCCCTGACCCCAGCTCTTCTTTGGCCGCAGGTTTTACCGGCG